AGGCATGTTTTCAAGAAAAAGAAAAACACAGGCAGGGAGCCATCCTGGGAACTAATTAGATCCGGAAGGCAGCCCCTGGGGCTGTAAAGCGGCCCCTTGTGGGTGGTGGGTGAGGCCTGGGGGTGTGGGCGAGAGGCCGCAGAGGGGCCCCTGGGACCGTGCACCCACTCACAGGGCCCCTGTTCCCTGCAGCTCTCTGCTCACCGCCGTGGGTCAGGGGCGCCCAGGCCACGGGGACATTCTCGAAGGACAGGTCTGGGAGGGGTCACATAGGGCCTTGGGCCCCAGATGACAGAGCTTGGTCCCTGAGCCCACTGAGTCAGGCAGGGAGGGCTCCCAGGGTTAGTGTGTTGGCCTGGGCCTGGGGGACTGCAGGAGAAAGAATGACTGCAAAGCGGGGGGCACTGCAGAGCATGCGTGCTTGGGGAACCACAGCTGAGGGCCCCAGGAGGCCGGTGCGGCACTAGTGAGGCTGCAGGAGTGGGACTCGGACACCCCGGTCCCCAAGCCCTGGTGAGAGCTTGCCATCTGGCCTGCAGGCTGTAGTCAGCATTGTGGACAGATGGGGCCAGCGTGGGACCTTGTGGGCACCTGCTGATGACCCCTCCATCCTCAGCTCTTAGCTGACCACTGGGTGATGGTGGGGGTAGTGGGGGAGTCTTCTGATTGTAGGAGGCAATAGAAGAATGGGCAGTGACCTCCGAGTTAGAGGAAAAAACTGAGTCTCAGCCCTGGCTCTGCCTGTTGTGTGCTGGACGGGTAAGGCGTGCAGTCGGGCAGGTTGCGCACTGCACAATTCCAAGGGCAGCCGTCATGCTGTGATCTCTGTTAATAATGGCCCAAGTACTGTAATGTGCAGTACACAACCTGTGCAGCAATACGAGTGGCCCTGGGTGGGGTGTCTGGGCCAGTCCCTCTGCCATCCTGGGCCGGGACTTCCCCATCCATTTCCCTGGCCGTCGTGAGTATCCAGAGTCAGCACACACAGAAGGTCCTCTTTCAGGGTCCGCCACTGTCAGCCCTCCCGGAAGCCCTGCCGCACAGAAACGCAGGAGGAGGGCCCCGGGCACACTTGGCTCTTCTCCCGTCCCCGGGAGGTGCCGCTGGACCCCCGGCCTTGGGAGCTTTGCTCTGATGTCAAGTACTTCCTGACTAGGACTCTCAAGGCCTGCGGACTACAGCTTATTTTTGAAAACACACACATACACACAAATGCTAACAGCTGAATCTGGTCAAGACTGACTGTTGACTTCAGAACTTTGGCTCCAGGACAGGGTGAGGCCGGGGTGGGGGTTGTTAAACCCCCCCCAAATAAACAGAGTCTGCCTCCCAGCCGTGGGGCCCGAGGTTTTCAAGTGGAACGCGGCGGTGGGAACCGCGTCTCTCGTTTCCCACTGATTCATGGGATGATTCATCCGTGTGTGGGGAGGCGGCCCAGGAAGCCCGCCCTGCCCTGCCTCCCACCCCATCCCCACCACCCACCTCGCCCGATTAAAGGGACAGGACCTGGTGGGGAGGGGGTGGGGGGCTGTGAACCATCCAGCTGACCCAGGAGCTCTCGGGGTGCCCAGAGGCAGGGAGGGCAGAGGCTCAGGAGGCACCAGGCCTGCGTCCACCCTCAACTGTCTTCACCTCCAGCCCGTTTCCTGGCATGTGGCTCCCACGGCGAGATCTGCTTAGCAGGCTGAACCTTTGTGGAGATGTTTGCAGACCTACTGTGTGCTGCTGGATCAGATGGGGTCTGGCAGAGCATCCCTGCCCTCCATCCTTCCCACCCTCCCCCTCTCAGGGGCCGCCGTGGGGGTCGCCTCTGCTGGTGACAGCTGGGCTGACAGGTCTGCTGTGTCCCAAAGGAGCTGGTGCGAGGGTGGGAGGTGAGACTTGCCCGGCTTCTCCCTGGGGTTCCTGCAGCCACCGGGACCCTGCCACCTGCCCGCGGGGGCGCTGGAGACACAGTGCAGTCTCCCGCTCTCACACTCACCAGCCCAGCTCACAGCAACCCCCCCCCAACACACACCCCGCCCCGACCAGGCCTCCATGTCTTCCATCTCTGTCTAACCTGCCTGGGGCAGAACCTTCAGAAAATCCACAAACCCAAACAAAGTCACCCATCACCCTACCACTGCCCCAAACGGCCATCGTGAAATCTTTTGGTGTGTTTTCCTGCCAGCCTGTGGCCCATGAATATTTTACAGGGGGGTTTTGTATCGTCCCATGAAATTGAGTGTCGCCGATTTTAACTCATCTCTGGAGAGGCTGCATTGGAAAGAACAGCACCTGCGGGGCGGTTCGGATCTGTGGGCGGCCGGGTCAGTGGCTCAGCAGCTTGGTCAGCTTGGGGCGCGCTCCGCTGGCCAGCGGGACCTGAGCTGGATCAGCTGGCAGGGAGCAGACGTGCCTAAAGCTCTGTGGAGTCCCTGAGATTGGGGATGGAGTCAGAGTCCCAGAGGTCGGGGATGAAGTCCCTGAGGTCAGGGACAGGGTCTCTGAGGCAGGGGGTGGGGTCCCTGGGATCAGGGATGGAATCAGGGTCGTGGGATGGGGTCCCTGAGATGGGGACGGGGTCCCTGAGATGGGGGACGGGGTCCCTGAGGTCGGGGAACGGGGTCCCTGAGTTGGGGACGGGGCCCCTGACGTCAGGCCCCGTGGGTCCCGTGGTAGCACGGCCTCTTCTGATCCGACGCTCTTACCCCACCCTTCCTTGGTCACACGGCCCGGTTTACAGTCGGCCGGACCCAGCAGCAGCTGTCCTCCTGCTGCGTCTTTGCACCTCTGTTCCCTTCCACCCAGCGCGCCCTTCCTGGGCCTGCCTCTGTCCCATCGCTGCTCACACGGTGCTGGGACTGGCCGGCCACTGGCCTGTTCCCAGCACGGGGTGTGCAGCCAGAAGGTGCTCGGCATCCCTATGAGAGCGAGTGCGGCGGACCGGGCCTTATGCCGGGAGCCCCAAGGAGGATCTGGGAGAAACCGCCAGGGGGCTACCTGGAGGAGGCGGGGTTTGAGCTGCACCTGGGACTGGCTGAGCGTCGTGGTAGGTGGGACTCGGGAGAGGTCCGGGTGGGAGGAGGCACAGAGAGGTGGGCGATGGAGCTGGGGGTAAGTGGCCCCACTGGGAGGGGTGATACCTGGCCTTGCCCATGTGGGCTTGCCTGTCCGAACGCAGAGCAGTGGTGGGCATGAGCCTAGTTTAAAGAATATCCAGGCCTAGTGCCAAGCCCTCCCCTGCCTGTGTTCTCCGGGAACCTTGGGGACATGAGGATTGCCTGGTAGGGGAGAACCTTGTGAGACTGCAGAACCTGAAATGGCCCCTCCGCCTTGAAGACAGACATGAGTGCAGGTTCCCAGCGCCCTTGGACGGGGCAGCAGAGCTAGGCTCAGCCCCGGGCTAGCAGGCCAGTAGCTTCTCCTCCAGAATTTCGGGGACTGTTAGCAATCCACCTGGAAATAAACGTGATGGGCATCTGCGTGTGCTGGGAGCCGCAGAGCCCTGGCCTGGGGTGGGCCCCAAGTCTGTGACCATGACCTCTGAACCTGAGACGCCACCCCTCCACTGGGCTCTGCCTCTGCAGGGGGCCCCTGGCAGCCCGAAGTTTGATCATCAAGGAGCCAAGAGTGGGGCACGTCCCAGCTAGGCTCTGGCCACCCTGGACAGGCGGCCTTTGATTCAGGCTGACCGCGGGAGGCTGGGCCCTCCACGGTCAGTGACCATGGGCTGATTGAGAGGCAGACATCACAGGGTCGGTGGGGTGGGCCCTCCTCGCCTCCCCTGACCACGGAGCCCAAGGCAAGCTCTGTTCTGGGCCCCGAGTCCCAGTCAGGCTTTAATGCACAGTCAGGGCCTTGGTGGGGGTGGTCCGGGGGGAGGGAGGGCCCTAAGGGCAGGGAGACCTGTGGCCCCATCCAGAACCTGGCTCTGCTCCAATGGAGTTTCCGTTTTTCCACCTTCGGGATGGAACCGATGACCCCTGCCCTGGCCGCCCCCTGGACAGCCGGGGAGATGAGTCTGGCTGTGGTTGGGGACCTCACTTGTCCACAGAGGCTTCCGAGGCCCTGATCGCGGGCCTGTGCTCCTTCCGGTCCCCTTGGACAGTCGGGAAAACCAGATTTTCTCCAGATCTTGGTGCCCGGTCACTCCCCAGAGACCCTCAGCTGCGGAGCTGGGCTTTATGGCCTGAGCCCTCTTTGTTCAGCACCTTCACGGAGCCTTAAGTTCGCAAGTCACGGCCTGTTCCCGCAGCTCTCTGGGGCGGGCAGGGGTGGAGAGGCCCAGAGACTGTAAGCGATTTGCCTAAAGCCACACAGCTGGAGCCCAGCCCGGCGCTCCTCTCAGGCCCTGGGAGCCGCTTATGGGCAGTGCTGGGCAGTGTGGGCTCCAGATAACCCTGCTGTCCAGTGGGGGCCCTGGGAGACCCCAGCACGTACGCCCGCACGGAGACCAAAGGGGCTATGGGCCTTGTGCCACCCACACGCCTCAGGCCTGTGGTCCCAGCAGGCGGCTGCTGACGGCAGCAGAAATGTGAGCCGGTAAAGGCCCCGGGGAAGGTCGCGAGCTGCCTGGCAAGGCTGCCTGGGACCGGGCCAAGCTCGACACACGCAGAGGGGCCCTGGCAACTCAGACGGCGGCAGCCCGATGTGGCCCAGGAGGGGGCCGCCCCACGGCCGGGGAGCGCCCACCCAGGGGGCTTCGGCCGTGACCTTGTCCAGCCACTGCACGGGCCCAGGGCCTGCAGGGACAGGCCAGAGCTGCGAGCTGGGGTGAGGTGGGGGACGGTTTCTTCACGCCAATACACTCCTGCCTAGGAAAGAAAGGGCAAGGGCCCTTGGCAGCTGGCCCAGAGAGATCCAGCCCGAGCTTTGTGAGAGTGCTGTGTGGCCTAGGATAAGTGTCCTGACCTCTCTGAGCCTCTCGGCCGGCCTGGCGATGCGAGGTGGGGAAGCCTGGATCCTGATCCTGGTGGTCTGGGCCGCACTAATGCACCTGGTTCTTCCTGCCAGTGTAGGTCTCCACCAGCTGACCAGCCCGCGGTACAAGTTCAACTTCATCGCCGACGTGGTGGAGAAGATCGCGCCGGCCGTGGTCCATATAGAGCTCTTCCTGAGGTGCGTGGAGCCCCTCGTGGCCCGCCCCCACCACCTCCTGGGCCCAGATGAGACGCGATCCTAGCCCCGGGGGGGTAGTAGAGACCAGAGTGGCTGTGCAATCCAGCGGACCTCGATCAGACCTCCTGGCCACGGCTGCCCTGGGGAGGATGTCTCTCCCCAATCCCGACCTCGTGGCCTAGAGAGGCAGAAAGCAGCTCGCACTTGACCCGGCTGCAGTGGCTGCTGCAGGCTCACAGGCGCTGTCTGAGCTGATGCCGCCCTGCAGACCCCCGGCTCCCATGGAATCCTGGGGTCTCCTGCCAAATTGACTTAGACACTGCAGCTCTGTCTTAACCTCACAGCCACTGTGTGTGGAGGGGGCCGGCAGGGGCCCAGACGGGACACACAGGGTCAGACCCACCCCCACTTCCAACCTGCTGGGGTCGGAAGGAGCCAGCCCCTTGCGTGCCACGCTGCCTGAGGGGACCGTCACCAAGGCCTCGGCCGCAACCCCAGGGCCTCGCTTGACTGGACTTCACAGCGCTTTCCCCGAGTGGTGGGGGTGGCCAGCGTCATCAAGCCCCCCCAGGGCACAGGGGACGAGGGAGTCCACCCCCCACCCCATCCTGGGCAGGGGGCCAGGAGTGGGCAGAATCACTCCCACCCTGACTCCTGGCCCCAGCACAGGTCTTGGCCCCGGCCCGCTGGCCGTGGAGCTTGGCCAGTGGGAGCCCCTCTCTCCCGGCATCCCGCCCCTGACCTCTGGAGGGCTGGGGCGGTTCTCAGCACCGACGGTGCTCCAGGGGCTGAGCAGACGCCTGGCGCGAGCTCAGCACGGTCCTCGGAACCCGCTCTGTGCCCATCACCACAAGGGCTGCCCTTCCTGCCCTTCTGAGCTGACCTACAGCCCCTGGCCTGGTGCCACCTCCCGGAGGAGACACCCAGGCCCAGCCGCCCGCCCCTCAGTGCTGACCAACGGCGCATGCACCACACTCTGAGGCCCTCCCATGGGTCAGGAAGGCAGGCTCCCATGTCCCCATTTTCTGGATGTGGAAACAGAGGCCTGGGCAGCTGCCCCAGGTTCAGGGCTGACTCCCAGGTCTCTGGCATCTCAGAATCGAGCCCATCCTCCTGCAACACACTGACCCCTCACTGCACTTTCCAAGGGCCTTAGACCCTGAAATGTGTCTTTAGGGAAATAATAGCCCAACATGTGAATGGCCGGTCCTTGGCCTTGCAGGTGGCTTGTAGAGGGGGCAGCGTCCTTCCAGACACCAGCCCTGAACCAGCTAGTTTGCTGACTACAGTGGGAGGCAGCAATGCTGGGTCCAGCCTTCCTTGGAGGCTGATGTCCCGGGGTGGGGGCGGGGAGATGCCAAGGTGGGCGTCATCCCAGACACGGGCAGCGTGGTCCTCCAGCACGGGCACCTCCGGCTGTGACCCCGGAGTGTGCGGGGGGAGGCCCTGGGCCACCTGTGGCTCTTCCTCAGACCCAGGGCGAGTCCTGCAACCAGCAGGCCCTGCAGGGCTCAGGTGCAGTTACCGCTCAGGGAACCGCACGGAACCGGGTGGAGGGCATGGGCAGGAGCTGGTCTCAGGCCTGAGCAACCGATGCTCTGGTCACCGCGGAGAGGGGCTGAGTGGCCAGGCTGCCCGGGGCAAAGCCTGGCTCTGCCGTTCCCCGGCCTGACCCGGGCGGCTGCTTCATGTCCCTGGGCCTGGGTCCCCACCTGTGAACTGATGTGGGCAGGAGGCTGACCCCTCTGGGCCTCAGTCTCCTCATCTAGGAAATGGGCTGACACCACCTCCCCTGAGCTGGGCGGCTGCCGACCTTGTTTCCCCACCTGTGAACTGGGTGGCCTCTCTATATTGTAGGGTGGCCGGGAGCATGGTGTGACTCGGCCCCTGGCTCCGTGGGAGCGCTTGGTGACCTTGGTTGTCTCTGACCTGCTGGGGAAGTGGCGTTTCTGCATTTCTCAGAGATCCGCTCCGCTGTTCCTCCCCGCCCTGCCCCATCCCCGCCCTCTAACACACACACACAGTTAGACCCTTTGTGGCTGGGGTCTGTCCAGCAGCCTCAGGCATGGATGACCTGCCCCGTCCAGGCCCCAAAGACAGAGGCGACCCTCCCCGGGGAAGGCTCTGAGCCTTCCAGGACTTCAGGGCAGGCAGCCAAGGCTCCGGCGGGAGGTGGGAGCACGGGCCCTCAGTGTTTACGACCTTCTCTCTGTGCAGCCGGAGATCTGGGACGCTGACGTTCCCCAGGGACCTGCTGAGTCCCGCGGAGCCGTGTGCACACCCTCCTGTCTTCCATATGGCTTATTGACCAACTGCCTGCAGACAGGCACCCTGCTCGCTGGAGCAGGTGGTGTTGGCCCATTTCCCAGATGGGGAGACTGAGGCTCAGAGGGGTCAGCCTCCTGACTGTCCACAGCCAGGCAGATGTAAGTGGGGACTGGACCTGAGGTTACAATCCTGGTCTGTCTGGCTCCAGGGCAGGAAGTGCCTGCTGCATTATCATGGCTCTGACATTCACAGGCCTCATGTCTCGTCCTTGCAAGTGGCAAGTCACAGGTCATCATCCCCCTATCTGTGGCTGTGAAATGAGTCCAGACTTAACGACTGGCCAAGGCCACAGCCATGAGGTGGCAGAGCCAGAATTCAATCCTAAGGCCTGGTGGATGATCATTTGCCTTGGCCCCTGGCTGTGGCTGCCCCCATCCGCAGTCCTGACCCAGCCCACCCACCTGCCTCCCCCACAGACATCCTCTGTTTGGCCGCAACGTGCCCCTGTCCAGCGGCTCAGGCTTCATCATGTCAGAGGCGGGCTTGATCGTCACCAACGCTCACGTGGTGTCCAGCACCAACACCGTCTCGGGCCGGCAGCAGCTCAAGGTGCAGCTGCAGAATGGTGACACCTACGAGGCCACCATCAAGGACATCGACAAGAAGTCGGACATCGCCACAATCAAGATCCACCCCAAGGTGGGTGGGTGGTGGTGGGGGGAGCCCTTCCTGGACCCTGGAGCTCAGAGACCTCTCAGCCCCACTTTCCCGTCAGACACTCAGAGGAACCGAGGCCCCTGGGGACTGGCAACGTGTCCTAGTCTTCGGTCTAGTCAGACTAGAACCCCGGCATCTGGACACTGCCCTCCAGGCCCTAAGTGGCCCGTGCAGGGCAGGGAAGGCTGCCTTCCGGGAAATGTGCCACTCCCACACGGAGGGTGGAGGATCTCCAGGGCGGGGGACACTTCCATTGTCCCTCCCAGGACTATTGCTGGAGATGCCACTGACCCCCCTGGGGGTCACAGAAGAGGCGACGCCCTCCTGCATGTTTCTTGGTGTTCAGCATCGTGGTCCCTGCTCCACGGGGCAGTGTGGGCTCACCTGGGGTGACCTGTGCCCTGCACACGCCATGCAGTCCATGGCAGGGGTGGACAGGCCCACGTGGGCCGGGGAGTCCAGCTTAGTTGAGCTTGCACCCAGCTTCTGCTCTTTCTGAATAAAAGTTGCCAGGATTTGAGATGACCAGTGTTTTGCAAGGAGGCCTCCCCTTGCCCGGTCACAGGAGAGGGAATTGAGAGACTCCACGAAATTATCCTAACGGAGATCCTTGCCCACTTTTAGAGCCCTTTCACAGTCGTTCCTGAGCCCAGGACACCATCTTTATGTTGGAGACGGGGAAACTGGGGATGACGGGAGGGTCGTACTCAAGGTCAGAGGTTGGCAGACGTTTTCCGTGAAGCGCCGGACAGTGAATGATGTAGGCTTGGCAGGCCCTGTGGTCTCTGTCGCAACCTCTCCACTCTGAACCGTCCTGGGAAGGCAGCCACAGGCCAGACAGATGGCTGGGCTGTGGTCCAGGGAAAGATGTGTTTACAGAAGAGGCTGCTGGATCTGACTGGATTTGGCCAAGGGCTGCAATATGCACCCCCTGCCCGAGGACCCCCGTGGGGAGAGGCAGAGCATTTAGAGCCCCGGGTGGGCGGCCACTGGGTCTCGCCCCTTCCAGGCGCTGGAATCTCCCCCTGGGGAGTGGAGGGTGCATCCTAGCAGCCACCAAAGATGCTGGCAGGGTCAGTAGGACCAGGTGCCCAGATACACCCAGTGCCTGCTCGGGTTCTCCTGACTGCAGGTCTGACTCCTAGCCCCCAGCCCTGCGTTAAACTGGGCTCTGGGGAAAGTGCTGACCGCATTGTCCCCTCTGGGTCCTCGTCCCAAATGCCGTTCCCTAGGTCCTCACTGGGGCCCCGCGTGTCTCTTGCCGAGGCTTCACTGCCCAGCAGCGTAGCATGTGGCACGCTGAGGCTCCATGCCGCCCACGTGGGCACAGCTCTCAGCGCCTGCCTCACCCTCACTTCTGTGTACAGCGTTTTTCCTGTTTATCGAGAGCTGCTGTGAAAACCAGAAAACTTCTCACTTGACTTGGAGGCAGACAGTACGCAGGGGATGCTCCTGACACGGGAGGAGCAGCTGGATGGATGGAGCCCACGGTCCTGAGGGTCTGCGGCTCAGGGCCCTGCCCTCTGACCTCTTCTGGAGTCAACAGAGGCCCCTGGGATCTGGGCACGCCTGTGCCCCCGGGCCATGCCCAGCCGGACCTCTCTGTGTCCTCCCTGCCATGGACCCTGTGGCCTGCCTTGGGGAGACCTGTGGTCGCTGTGAATGCCAGCCCTGGGTCTGGTGGCCCCCAAGGGTCAGCCAGCCTTGCATTGGCCTGCCGCTCTGGGGACCACCGTGCTGGGGGCCTGGCCGTAAGTTGGCTCTGGTCCCACCAAAGGCCCACCACTGAGCTTCTTTTCCCACGTCCTCCTTGCCTCCTCCCCAGAAAAAGCTCCCGGCGCTGCTGCTGGGCCACTCGGCAGACCTGCGGCCCGGCGAGTTCGTGGTGGCCATTGGCAGCCCCTTCGCCCTGCAGAACACGGTGACCACCGGCATCGTCAGCACAGCCCAGCGGGACGGCCGGGAGCTGGGCCTCCGGGACTCCGACATGGACTACATCCAGACGGATGCCATCATCAACGTGAGTCCGCACAGCGGCCTCAAGATCGGTCCCCAGAGCCCCTCGCAGGGCCCCACCCCCAGAGCCCCTCCGTCTCTGACATGTCCACTGGCTGGGAAGTTCTTTCCTTACATTAAGTGCAGCTCTGACTCCCAGGACTTCTGCCTGTGGGCACCAGGCCGGTCCTCGCAGTCTTAGAGGCCGCAACCCTGATCTGGGACAGCCCTTCAGAGTCGTAGAGACGCAGCCAAGACCTCAGAAATATCTTTGCCTAAATCACACACCCTGTCAACATCATTATTACTACCACTATCGTTATTCCATTGGATGCCACCTCTTGCATTCACAAAGCCTTTGCCCAGACACCCAGCACCTGCCGCCTCTCTGCTTTGCCATGGTTCAAACCCTCTTCTGGGAAGTGCGGGTCTTTGAAAGACTTCTCAATGCCAGTGGGGTGAGAAACGATGCCCTGTCCTGCATCCGCCGGGGAGGGTGGAAACACGGATGAGAGGCTGGAGGGAACCTGTGAGATCTGGGCGGACAGCACCGGCCAGCTCAGACCCGGATGATCAGAGTCGGCCGTGCACTGGGCCGCTGTGGGCCTCAGCCTTCTTGTCTGTGGAATGGGCGCTGAGGCCTTTCAAGCCTGTGGTGCTCAGTCGCTTCATCGTGTCCGACTCTTTGCGACCCCATGGACTGTAGCCTGCCAGGCTCCTCTATCCATTGAATTTTCGGGGCAAGAATAGTGGAGTGGGCTGCCCTTTCCTTCTCTATTCAACCCCGTTGCGGGAGGAAATTCAATTACATGTTTCTGGGCCATTTGGATGGTAGTTTCTGAAGAAAAACTTCAGAAACCCTCCAGGAGGGGAGATTTGGGGCCCGGCTCATGTGGTATTTCCTCCTCTGCAGTATGGGAACTCCGGGGGACCGCTGGTGAACCTGGTGAGTGTCCCCTAGAGTGGGAGCCTCGAGTTTTCTGGGGCTCTGTTCACACTGGGGTGGGCGGCACAGCCTCGAGGGGTGCTTGGGACCCAGAACACGGGCCTCGTGCCTTCACACCCAATGGTCTGGGGGCCCCGGAGGGGGATGTGACCCCAAGCACGTGCTGCCCCCAGGGGAGCTGGTGCTGTCGGAGGAGTGAGGGAGGTCTGAGAGCAGCAGGACCCGTGCCTGTGGTGGGCCTGGGGCACAGGACACGGGTCGGGGGCCGGTCCCCTCGTCATCGTGTTGACGGGGGAGGAGCTGGGCTTACCACACACCCTGGCCCCCAGGCTCCCTGGGGCTGGCCCCTGTGTCTGGACCACGTAAGGATGGACACGGGGTGGGGGGGAATCCCGCAGGAATGCTGGGGCAGGGGTGTCTGTCGGGCACCCTGGGAGGAGCTGCGGCTAGGAGTGGGGTCTCAAGTGGCAGATCAGCCCAAGCTGCATCTGCCTCCTGGGGGGTGCAGGACAGAGAGGGAGCCCAGCTCAAAAGGGACGAACAGTGGAGGAGGCTGGGGGCTTCCCTGGCCCCAGGTCCCCCCACCCTGCCTCTCGAAAGAGGGGATAGAGGGTCCCCCAGTCCTCACCACGTCCCTCTTGGCTCCAGCCCCTCAGAAGGCTGGCTGGGGGGCGTCCTCGGTCAGTAGGCACAGCTTCTCGGGGGCAGGCTGTAGCTTCCCAGGTCAACACTCTGCAGTGATGGAGCTAGAGGGTCAGGTGTGGAGGCGAACGGCGGGAGAGGTGGGGGCGCCTGACTCAGACCTGGACCCCGGAGCACCTTTAGGGGGCTTCTCAGGGATGGCACTGACGGCCAGGGCCGCCCGTCTGGGAGCCGAGTCGCACGGACACGCTGCTCTGCCACTGAGCCCAGTGGCCGCTTGGGTTCTCGGAGTGACCGCCCGCTCTGATCTCTCACCCAGGACGGCGAGGTCATTGGCATCAATACGCTCAAGGTCGCAGCCGGCATCTCCTTTGCCATACCCTCGGACCGCATCACGCGCTTCCTCTCAGAGTTCCAGGACAAGACTGGCAAAGGTACAGAGCCCCCACGTGGGGTCAGGGACGCTGTCCCAGGGCTGAGCTCACAGCCTCCAGCAGGGCCAGGCGATCCTGCAGTGCTCTGTGATGGCACCCACTTCCCAGTCCACCCTGATGTCCTGAGACCCCCACACCGAAACCTCTCTCCCATCCTCTCCTCACCTCATGATGATGATCACCCCCGCGCCTCTAGACTGTCCCCTCTGGCTGGGGATCACCTATCTCACCTCCCACCTCCTAAGGTGGTGGCCCCCAAATTTCACTTGTCTGAGCGGCTCCATAGTTGTCAGAACCCAGATAGAACTTCCTTCTATCCCATTAACCCATCTGCCCTCCCACCCACCAACCCATCCACCCACCCACCAACCCATCCACCTACTCACCAACCCGCCCATCCATCCATCCTTCATCCCACCCAGGCACCAACTCATCCATCCACCCACTCATCCCTTCCTCCGCCTATCCTTCCTTTCTACCTTCTTTTTCTTGCTTTCCTTCCTTCCATCCTTCCTTCTGTTCATCCATCCATCCATCCACCCCTCCTGCATCTTTTTATCTGTCTAGTTTTTGAGATGATGGTTTTCCTTCTTCATCTTTTGATATGGTAAATTTCTTTGGTTGGTTTTAAAATATTAAGCTATCCTTGCATTCCTGGAATAAACCTCACTTAGTGGTGATGTATTATCCTTTTTGATATATTGTTGGGTTTGATTTGCTGAAAGCATTTCAAGACTTTTCGCATCTATCTTCATGAGGAATGTGGGTCTAGCTCTGTTTCGTTTGGGTGTTGGGATAATGAGTTGCAGAGTGGCTTAGGAAAAACACTCCCTCTTCTACTTTCCATTTTCTACTGCAATGCTGTTTTATTTCTGACACATCTGATCAGCAAAAAGTGGGGTTTCCCCCTGCCAAGCAGGGCGTCTTACAATTTAACTCAGTTGTGACACTGTTTACCCAGAGATAGCATCAGACCCCACAAGTTAAGGGCTCAGTCCTATGACTGCCCCAGTCCTGACTTCAGATGCCCGTGTACACTGTGACGATAAAATCAGAATTGCCCATGACCCCTTTCTTGGGTTGGATCGTTTGCTAGAGCAGGAAAGCTGTTTGCTCGAGAGATAACCAGTCTATTGTAAAGCATATGTCTCAGGAACAGCCTGATGACAGAGGCGCGTCGGGCAAGGTGTGGGGGAAGGGCAGGGAGCCCACGGCCTCTGGTGCCCCTCCACCCGACCGCCAGCCCAGAAGCTCTTCAGACCCATCTTTTTGGGGTTTTGTGGCGTCTTCGCGACGTGGGCGTGGCTGACTACGGTGCTGTGTGTGTGTGTTAGTCCCCCAGCTGTGCTGGACTCAGTGCAATCCCATGGGCTGTCGCCTACCTACCGCAGACCATAGCTCCTCCATCCATGGGGTTTTCCAGGCAAGAGTACCAGAGTGGGTTGCCACACCCTCCTCCAGGGGATCTCCCCGACCCAGGGATTGAAGCTGGGCCTCCTGCATTGCAGGTGGACTCTACCATCTGAGCCACACGGGAAGCCTCTGAATAAGTTACTAGCCATTGGCAATTGATTCAACCTCTAGTTCGCCTCCTCTCCTCTCCTTCGCAAGGCAGAGAAGGCTGAGGAGGAATGTTCCAATCCTCCAATTACGTGGTTGGTTCCCCTTGCAACCAACCTGACACCATTACAAACTTTCCAAAGTTTACCTCATTAACATAAAGTCAAGTGTGATTGAAAGGGACTTGTGAATAACGAAAAGCCATGTGAGAGATAGACCATAAAGAAGGCTGAGCGCCAAAAAAAAAGAAAAGCTGAGCACCAAAGAACTGATGCTTTCAAACTGTGGTTGTGGTGCTGGATAAGACTTTTGAGAGTCCCACCATGGACAGCAAAGAGATCAAACCAGTCCATCCTAAAGGAAATCAACAATGGAATATTCATTGGAAGGAATGATGCTGAAGCTGAAGCTCCAGTATTTTGGCCACCTGATGCAAAGAGCTGTCACATTGGAAAAGACCCTGATGTTAGGAAAGACTGAGGACAGGAGGAGAAGGGGATGACAGAGGATGAGATGGTTGGATGGCATCATCGACTCGATGAACATGAGTTTGAGCAAACTCCAGGAGATGGTGAAGGACAGGGAAGCCTGGTGTGCTGCAGTCCATGGGGTTGCAGAGTTGGACATGACTTAGCGACTGAACAACAATAACAATTTCACCTTTAGAGGTCTGGAACTATTTCAGGAGCTGCGAGAAAAAGATGTCCCTTAGAGGTCTGATCACTTTAGGGAAGTACAAAAGTTTTAGAAGCTATGTATTACGAACCCTGGATGAAGACCAAAATATGTATACATTTCCTATTAGTCACAGTGTCACAGAAATAGTCACTCATTTTCAGTTTTCTGGAACCATTTGTTTAGAACTGATATGATGTCTTCCTTAGGTGTCAGTTAGAGATTCTCCTGTAAGACCGTCTGGGCTTGAAGTTACTTTGGGGCAAGATTTTTAACTGCTTCAATTTCTTTAATAGACACGGGGCTATAAAAACTGTGAGTCTCTCAGTCTTGTCTGACTCTTTGCAGTCCCGTGGACTGTAGCCCACCAGGCTCCTCTGTCCGTGGGGATTCTCCAGGCAAGAATACTGAGTGGGTTGCCAGTCCCTCCGCCAGGGGATCTCCCCACCTGAGCATTGAAACCAGGTCTCCTGCATCAGAGAGTCCTTACTCTCTGAGTCAGCAGGGAAGCCCATTCAGGGTTACAGAGGGTATCTGTTTCTTCTTGAGTGAACTGTCGTAGTTTTAAATTTTCAGGAAATATATTCAGTTTACCTCTGTTGTCAAGTTTATTGACATCTAGTTGTTCATATTAGTCTCTTATCTTCTTAATACCTATAGAATCTGTAGTGGTGTCACCTCTCCCATTCCTGATATGGATCATTGTGTCTTTTTATCCCTAATTAGTCTGGCTAAAAACTTATCAATTTTATTGATTACAAAAAGTCAACTTTTGCTTTTCATTTATTTTTTCCACTTTTTCCATTTTCTATTTCTTTGATTTCTATTCTTTATTATTTCTTTTCTTCTGCCTACATTAGATTTCATTTGATCTTCTTTTTCTAGTTTTAAGGAGAAGGCTGAAGTCATTGATTTGATATCGTCCTTCTTTTCTGATATTGGTACTTTAGTGCTATTAATTCCCCTCTAAGTACTGCTTTACCTCCATCCGACGAAGTTGGTACGTTGTATTTTGTTTTGTTTTTTTCAATTTAAAATGCTTTCTAATTTCTCTTTTGATCTATTCCTTAGAGTTGGGTTTTTTTAGAAGTATATATATTTACTTTCTAAGTTATTGTGACTCTTGCAGATACCTTGTAGTTTAATTCCATTGTGGCCAGGGAGCGTATTTTTATGACATGACATTTTAAAAATGTGCTGAGACTTATTTAAGTTTGTTGTTGTTCAGTCGCTCAGTTGTGTCTGACCCTTTGTGACCCCATGGACTGCAGCACACCAGGCTTCCCTGTCCTTCACCATGTTTAGGTTTGGACTATGTGAAGGTGGTTTTGGGGTCTGAGACATCTGCTACGTCACAGACTGGAGAAGCTGGGGGCCTAGAGCTACCACCTCAGCCTTCTATGTTTGCATTGCTCCAGCCAGGGGGCCTGCCGCGTCGTTAGAGCTCCCTGGGTGTTATCAATTAATATCTGGTTTATGGAAAAGGCAGGAGAAGGTGACCAGTTCAGATCAGAGAAAGGCAACTTGGGGAGCCTGCAGGATGGAGGCTGGGTCGGGGAGCTCCCCTGTCCACTGGGGTCGGGTGGGGGGCCCAGCAAGGGAGCAGATGTCAGAACTGATGTGGGTGAATGGTGCCTGGTGATGCGGGTGGGCCGGAAGCCACCAAATCAGAACCAGGACCTCTCCCAGGCCCTCAGGAGCAGCCACGTGGGGTGAGGTGCCTCTGGGGAGAGCTCACACAGGGGCTGGGCTGGCCCCAGGAGGGTGGCCCCTGCTGCCTTCTGCCCTTAGCCAGGCCCCTCGGGGAGCACTGAGGCTTTCATGGTGGCGCTAACCGAGTCCTGACACGCTCTGTTTCTAGACTGGAAGAAGCGCTTCATCGGCATCCGGATGCGGACCATCACACCAAGGTGAGTGTCCAGAGGACACTGGCGCCCACCGCCCCTCCATTCTCGCCCCTCATCCCCACCCTCCTCCCGGACCCTGGCCCCGACGTGCCTGGCCACTGGCAGGTGCTTCCATGGACCAGACACACCCAGGCTTCTGAGCCTTTGCTCAGGTCAGTCCCTTGGCCTGGAACGCCTTTCCCCCTCAGCCCGATCCAAAGGACTCCGTTCAGGTGCTCCTCCTCCAAGAAGCCTCCCAGATTAGTTTCCCTGGGGCTACCATAACAAATTGACCCCAAGTTAGTGGCTTAAAACAACAGAAATTCATTCTGTCAACAGTTCTGGAAGCCCGCAGTCCAAACTCAAGGGGTCAGCAGGGCTGTGCTCCCTGGATGCTTCAGGGAAGGGTCCTTCCTTGTATCTCCCGGCTTCTGGTGGTTCCAGGTGTTTCTTGGGTTGTATTTGCATCGCTGCAAGCTCTGCCTTTCTCGTCGCATGATGGGCACAAAGCCCCCAGATTAGAGCCAGGACACCTCCCAGACTCTCAAGAGCAGCCACGTGGGGAGAGGTGACTCTGGGCGCCTGATCACACAGGAGCTGGGCTGGTCGAAGGAGGGTGGCCCCTGCTCCCTTCTCCCTCTTGTTTCTCTGATAAAAAAACACCAGCAATTGGATTTCAGGACCACCCTAAGTCAGGCTGATCTCGTCTCGAGGTTCTTAACCAGCCGCATCAGCAAGTCCCTATGTCCAAACAAGGTCACGTTCTGAGGCCTGAGCAGACTTGAACTCTGGGAAGGGGACACCATTCTCCCTCCCCGGAGGCTACTTCAAGGGGAGGAGAGTCTCCTCTTCACTTGCGCAGTTGTGCTTCCCGCCCCAGCTTGCACTGGGTCCCCCAGTGTCAGAGCTGCCCACCCCCAACCTTGGCCATGAGCTGTTTGTGAGCAAGCACTGTGTCCTGCTCACCCCCAGGGCCAGGACTATAACAGAGCAGGTGTCTGCAAATTCTGAGTGCGTGAAATAGGGGAGGGGCTGGGGAAGAGGAGGGACAGGGAGGAAGGAAAGGAGGCCGAAGGGAAGAAAATGCAAAGTCCAAGGGTTTAGAGAAGGAAGAGGTCACTGCATTGGGGGGCTCTGGGGAGAACTAAGCTCGCCTGAGTGACCCTCCCACCCACACAGCCCCTAGGATGACCTTCCTTCCTGTGTCGGAAGCCGTTCCTCTAGGGAATAAATCTGAAAGCAATTTGGAATCAAGACCAATGTGCCAATTTACTGTCTAAAGGTGCTATTTTTCTCTTCCATCCAGCTGTTCATCACACCATACCTCCAGCCTTCTGTGTCTCCACGGTCACCCGTTGTCTGTTCATCCTTCCGTCTGCCCATCTATCCGTCACACTCTTTCCTTCCCTCCATCCTGCCATCTGATCACCCATCCCTCTGCCTTTCCTTCCCTCCTTTCCCCTCCTGCCACTCATCTTCCCATCTGTCCGTCACCCTTCCCACTCCACACTTCCTACCATCCATCCTCACTGAGATATCTCTTGAGGAGCCCGAGTTGAGTGGGGGTCACAGACAAGAACCAGTGACAACCCAGAGTGGTCCGTGGCAGGACCGGGCAGCGTGGGGGCACAGAGGAGGCTCCTCGTCCTGGGTGGAGGAGGGGGCGAGGGAGCACCTTTGTACTAAGGAGTCAGCTTAGAGGCCCAGAAGAAGTGCCTTAACGGTGGGACTGTCTTTTCAGTTTGGTGGAGGAGCTAAAGGCCAGTAACCCAGACTTCCCGGCGGTCAGCAGTGGGATTTATGTGCAAGAGGTTGTTCCGAATTCACCTTCTCAGAGGTAGGCTCCACCAGAGGAAGCAAGAAGGCTGGGAGGGCGGGCTCGGGGCCTGGGCTGGACTTGACTGACCTTGTATGACCTTGAGCTTCCTGACAATGTGGTGTAATGTGAAAGTGGCAGGCGGGATCCTGGCCAGTCCTTTAAGCTGGGCTCAGGCTAGAGGGTGAAGGCTGTCCCCTCCTTGGCCCAGAGTGTCCTTCACTTTGGGTCTGGAGAGACAGAGTAGTGGAGGTCCCCGCCCCGAGCTGAGAACCCCATGCCAGCCTCCCTCTCACCAGCCTCTCGGGTCAGCCTGGGTCTTTCCTGGCCAGTTTCCACATCTGCGAAATGGGCATGATTCTGCCTACTCTTCCTCTCCCACGAGACACTGTCAAGATCAAAAGGGGGTCAAAGGCTGGCTTCCTCGGAAACCACTGAATACGCGAGAAAGGTCGAATGTTGCAGCACGGTGGGCTTAAGCAGGCTGTGCGGAGGTGATGGCACGCGTGAGCCTGTGCCCTGGGCCGGCTCTGAACACGCGCCCGCCTCTCCTCCTCCAGGGTCCATCTGTTCCGTGGGGGGTGCTCCTTGGGATCCTGCTTCTAAACTGCAGCTTCGGGACCAAGAAGTAGCCGATGTGGGGTCTGGGGCTCCTCTGGGGGCACGTGGAGCCAGGCAGGAGGGTCCCCCTGCCCCTTTAACCCAACAGGACGCATTTTCTCTGTTTCATGTGCTGGGCTGGAAGACGCGGATCCCTGGGGTCTTCCTGCCCTGAACACGGCACGTGTGGTCAGCGGGCAGCTGGCCTGCAGTAAAAACTGTCGAGATACCGATCTGTGATGCCAAAGAATAATCACCCCCGACTCAAGCTCTCTGTTCGGGGGTGCTGGGGCAGCAGGCAGGCGTCAGGGAGAGTGGCCACATGCAGGGCGCCCGGGACAGGGGAGCTCGTTGGGGACGGTGGCCACGGCTGACCCAGGCTGGGCTGTGAGCTGGGCGTTCCAGCTGCGCCCCCTCAAGGGTGTCTCACTGGAGCCCGCGAGGTGTGGGCTCTCGTCCCATTGCTCAGATGGGAAGACTGAGCTTTGACGCAGTCAGTCATCCGAGGTCACGCAGCTCACGCGTGTGGATCTGGGTCCTGTCCCCCGTGAACCTGACCTCGGTGCCACCCTGCCTGCCCTCTGGATGGTGGGGAAGGTCATGGCAAGTCAGGTGCAGAAGGGCGCTGGCCTCGCTCGCTCCAGCCCTGACGGGAAAGTCTTACCAACAGCAGCAGCGGTGGAATCAATACCCTGGACCTCACTGTAATTTGCAAAGAGTGTCCCCACCCAGGGCTGCAGTGGCGGGAACCGAGGCTCACGGGGCCGTGTCCCTGGCCCAGGTGGGGAGACCACAGCCAGAACGTGACCCCAGCCCCTCTGCTGTACAGAAAAGCCGCCCGGCAAAGCGCTAGCTGCTGGCCGGACAGTGGTCTCCGCCGGGGGTGAGAGCCTGGTGGTCAGCGCCCTGTTCTCACCTGTTGAAGTGACCTCCCTTAAACCCGCGGCTGTGAGGGGCGCCCAGGCCCCGCCTCTCGGGGACGGGCTGTGAGCGCCTCTGTCTCCCACTGGCAGGGGAGGGATCCAGGACGGCGACATCATCGTCAAGGTCAACGGGCGGCCCCTGGCCGACTCGAGCGAGCTGCAGGAGGCCGTGCTCACCGAGTCCCCCCTGCTGCTGGAGGTGCGGCGGGGCAATGACGACCTGCTCTTCAGCATCGCGCCCGAGGTGGTCCTGTGAAGGCGGGGCCGTCTCCCCCACCCACCCGTCGCCGAGGACGCGGCCCGCGGGCCAGCTCCCCCACGCGGGATCAGGACGAAGGACCCGGGTCGGGCCTCGGCACAGCCGGCGGACTCTTCCCGGCGGCCAGCACTGGAGCCACAGGCTGGCTGGGCGTGGCCAGGGGCCCGCATCTCAGCCTGCATCACGGTGCCCCGGGGGGGCAGTCCAATGCCCACCATCTCCACCAAATCCTCCGGAGGGCCCCTCCACGTTCCCGGATCTAGAAGACTCGTATTTCCCCCAAAGCCCCTCCTCTCTCCCGCCTTCCTGCCTTTGCACCCGAGCTTAGGATACCTCTCTGTAAACGCCCGCCATTCCTTCCCTACCCTGACCTCCCCGGCTCTCACTGACCAGGTCTCTGGCCCCCAGTCTCCTCCTGTCCCCGGGGCACCCCTCTGCGCCCCCAGCACAGCGCCCATCACCTTAAATGACCAGGGCTGTCTGCCTGGCTCACCTGCTCCCACTGAGGAGTCGGGCTTGGCGGGTCTGGCCGGTAGCTGGCACCGTGAAGCATCCCCTGACGACCTAGCTGAGCCCTAGGGCCTCCCAGGTGGGAGAGGAGCAAGCAGAGAAGGAGCAGAGAGTGTCTGCCCCCCGCCCCCGCCACCGGGAGGCTGGCCTGTCCTCCTGGAGAGGACCCTGGGGCGGTGTGCAGGGGTGCGGAGGAAGCTGGGACCCGCGGGCAAGGGGAGGCAAGGACTGAGCCGCCAGCCTCCTGAGCTGTTCCGCAGGCAGCGGGGACTCGTGGCGTCCCCAGGAGCTCAGGCGGTCCCCTTTCAGAAGGGAGCCTGTTTCCAGGTGACCCCGTGAGCTCCCCAGTGCGGTCCGGTCCCCGAGTTGCTTGTACTGTATGTTTCTCTACTGTATGGAAATTAAAGTTTACAAGCACATGTTTCTGGGCCAGCAAGGGTGCGTCTGGGGCCCCCTGCCCACTCCTGCACAGTTCCTGATGACCCAGAGCTGACCCATGCCTCAGTAGGTGGAGATGGGGGGTGGTGTCAACCGCCGGAGCAGCGCCCGGGCATTGCCACGCCCCAGCCACCCTGCCCTCAGCCCCAGTATCCCCACTTTGACTCCTGGCCCCTGGTCCCCAGCAAGATGGCCATGGTGGTGGCTGGAATCCTGCTCAGTACCTAGAGGGACTCACAGGAGACAGGCCTGGAGTGGGGTGGGGGGTGGAGGTGCTGAGTGGGGCTGACTGTGTGGCTGCGGGCCAGCTGGACAAATGAGGTCGGGGTGGGGGATAGGGAATCAGACTGAAGAGCTCTCAGCACCCACAGCCAGAAAAGAACCCGAGACCGTCTGACGATGCCGTGATCTGGTTCACCATCCTAGCTTTGCGATCCCAGGGTTCAGGCGATCACAGAACTGAGCGCGCTTCCCCCCCCCCCCCCAGGCCACGTCCAGGCCCTGCTGGGGAAGGAGGGGCCGGGCACAGAGGCCACCCTGCAAGGCGCCTCCCAGCCCCACCACGCGGTGGTCCCTGGTGGTCCCTGTCTGATCACCGCCCCAGAGCCTGGCCCAGCCCACACGGTGGGACCGTCCACCTCGCAGGGAGCCCCCGTGCCCCTCGCCCATGCAGAGTGGACCAGACCACCCCCAGAAAGCAGGCCTGTGCCATCTCATCCCCCCACCTCTTCCCCCGTCCACTGCCCAACCTGGAACAGTCCTGATGCCCAGGGTCGTTCAGCTTGCTGAGGTCTCTGTCTCACCCGCCTCGGCCAGGCCCCTGCTTTTCGCACTCACGGCGGCGCACAGAGCGTGGTCCTTGTTCTCCATCTCTGGCCCCCTGACCGTGTGCCCAGCGGCCACGTGGTCCTCCCCAGGAGTAGGGAGCCCGGGGGAGCTGGGGCAGCTGTTCGGGTCAAGGCCGCTGGTCTGGGGGCCTGGGCTTAGGCAAACGATGAGCTGGAAGTAGGGCACTCAGGGCGGAGCCTTGGACTTGAGCAGGGCCATGAGTCTGAGAGGGCTCTGGGGTCCGCGGTCAAGGGGGTCAGTTCGATTCCCGGTGAGAGCTGCTTCCTGGCCTGGCAGAGGCTGCTGATGGCTCTATGCCCAGGAGGCGGGGTCGGGGTGGGGAGGGGGCAGGAGAGGAATGGAGTCCCTTCCTACAGGGGCTCGGGGCCGGCAAGGTCACCGTGAAGTTCCCCGCCTCATCTAACCCTGTTCGCTCCCCCAAGGCCCCGCCTCCACTTCCCATGACACTGAGGGGAGGGCTTCCGCTTGTGAAATTGGGGGACACCATCCAGTCCTTAGCACAGCGGTGCAGGTGGGGGAGGAACAGAGGGGGAAGCGAGAGAAGCCAACAGGTGATGCAGTGGAGGGATCAGGGGATGACGAAGCCGGCTGAGCCCCTCTGAAGAGCTGTGAGGTGGAAAGCTGGTGGCAGTGGTGGTCCCGCCTGCCCCCCTTCCAGGGGGCGTAGCTAGTGTCCCCTGGGCCCAGAGGGGACCCCCAGGCCTAGAGGGAGCTCTGAGCCCAGAACTGTCCCTTGCAGCTACAGGTGTCCTCAGAGGTGTGGGTGTGGGGGGACATGGCCAGCTGCTCCAGCCCGAGACTTGGAGAGACAGACAGCGGGATGCCCAGCACCTGCCCAGAGGTCCAACAGGGTCACATACTTGCAAGTGCCCAGGATGGGTCGCCGGCGCCCTCCAGGCATTTTCTGGAACCATCTTCCCCTGAGGTCTGGCGCTGGGGTGGACCAGGCTCCCTGACATGGCCTCTGCGGGTGTTGATGATGACCAGCCCATCAGCATCCCCCCCCGCCTCCACCGCCACCCGGAAACCCTCATATTTGGAGGGGAGTTGTGGTTATGGCCCAAAGTGAGGGGAGCTTCCCTGGTGGTCCAGGGGTTAGGACTCAGAGCTTTCACTCAGGAGGTGAGAGTCCAGTCCCTGGTCAGGAAACTAAGGTCCTGCAAGCCCTGTGTGTAACCAAAAAAAAAAAAGTCACAAAGGAGGTTCCTGACTCAGAGTCTGGCCCCAGAGTGCCCAAAACATCACTTCATATCTGGTCATTTCCTGCACCAGCCCCTGGGGGACAGGGCTGCCCTGCCCTCCGCGACCTCAGGCCATCTGTGTGTGAAATGGGGGGTGGGATGGGAGGGTTTCAGCTCAGGCCCCTCACTGCCTGACTTCTGCAGGCGCCCTTGACTCCGTGCTTCAGCCTTCAGGGAGGCCCACGGATACCACCTCTGGGGCAGAGGGACCCCTTATCTGAGGATGGGAGCAGCCCGCTCCCCTGCCCCTGGGCTGGCTCTGCAGCAGCAGGCTCTGTGGGGGTCCAGGCCTCTGACCCCCACCCGCCACTCAGCCCCAACCACCCCCAGCCGGGTAGACCTGGCCTCTCCGCAGCTGTTTCAGCAGCTCCTGGTGAAAGACAACTTTTCAGAGCCCGCCTGAGCCACTGTGCAACCCTCAGGCTCCCGACGCAGCCCCTGGTAGCTGGGCCCATAGTCCTGGGAGCTGCAAGCGGGGTTCTCAGAAGGTCAAAGGCAACCCCTCACTTCTGACTTTGGGGTTTCCCCCACCCAAACCCCTGGATCTCTAGATGGACGGGACTGGAAGGGGGCATCACAGCTTCCCTGGTTCGAACAACCCATTGCACAGAGGCCAAAACTGAGGCCCAGAGGGGAAAAGGACGCACAGGGTCACACGTGAGCCAGGGACTGGCTCCTGCAGGGCCCCGGGCTGAGCCGGAGCAGACAGCTGCGGCCGCAGCTGCATCCGGACAAACATCCATCTGTCCGAGTGTGTGCGGCCCAGGCCGGGAGCTCCAGGAGCCAGCGTTCCAGGGGTGGATGGCTGTTGTTCCTGTGAGCTACAGACCTGCAGGGCATCTTCCTCCCCTCCCGCTCCGGGATTAGTGAATCCAGAACACAGTGACCAACGATGGAAGCTCTGGATTGGGTCAGATGAGAGGGAAGCAGCAGGGGGCCTGGCGCGGCTCCCCCAGTCTCGGGCAGCGGCACCTGGAGGGAACGACTGGGGCCTGCCTGCCAACACTGCCCAGCTCCGCGTCTGTGTCAGGCAGCCTCCCGCCTCCCGTCCACGCCTCCCCTCCCCCTGCAGGCTTGAATGCTGGTCCCCCTTCTTGCTGCCCCCGTGGCTGCCCTGCCCTCGGTCCACGATTCTCGGGTCTTTCGGGGTCTGGCTCTGCTCCCATCTCCTGCGCTTTCCCCGCCTCTGTGGAAGCTGCCCTCTCGGGACGCTCTCCAGGCTGCTCTGTGTCTGCTTCTTTCTACTGACCATCTTCTCCGTGACTGGCTGAGAAGTGGTCTCCGAACTGTCCACATCACAGCCCCGGAGAACCCGTCTGGTCAGCTCACCTGGCCCAAAGAAGCTTGCAGGTGTGATCCGATGTAAGATGCTGCGGTGGGAGGCCGCCCTGGATTCTCCAGGGCCGGGACACGAGACCACAGGGTCCTTAGAGAAAGAGGCAGGAGAGTCAGACAGTGGACGCGAGGTCGGGGTGACGTGAGGAAGGGGCTGAAGACTGTGGATGCCTCTGGAAGCTGACAACGAGGTCTCCCCTGGAGATCCCCAGCAGAACCAGCCCCGCCCACACCTGGGCTCCAGCGGTGACCCTGACCCTGACCCTTCGTGACAGTCAGTGGCTTTGTTCAGACAGCGTACTTGTGACCCCTGAGAGCAGGAAGCCCAAACCATCTCGGAAGCCCGTCCACCTCTCCCGCATCCCGATTGTCCCATTAATCAGCCCCATGCCGACCACTTCCTACCCTGGAAGGCCGGCTCCAGGATCAGGCAAACCGTGAACGTCTCTGAAGTCCCAGCCGTGTCCCCAGAGCCAGTTCTGTGCCCGCAGCAGAGCGGGTGCTTAGGGAGAACCCTCCAGAACCCATACTTGCTGCGTTACTGCAGACCAGACTCTCAGTTCCACATCAGGGGAGACTAGGTGCCAGGGCAGGACCCAGGGAAGGCAGGGGAGGGCACCACCTTCCTCATTGCCATGCGTTTCTCTAAATCCCAGGAGCAAGCACCGCCCCCCTGCAGGCGTCCTTGCAGATGGAGCAGGCCACATGCTGTCCCCTTACCCACTCGGGGTCACCAAGCCCTGCCCGAGACCTGCTGCAGCTTCCAGGGATGCCCCCGGCCAGGGAGCCTCCAGGGGGAATGAACCCTCCTCCTCACACCCGCCAGCCCCAGCCTCTGCCCCATTCCCTCCCCCAACTTCAAAGGAGACACCCACTCTGGGCCCCCCCAGGGCTCCAAGGGGGAGCCCCTCACCCTACCCCTCACCCACTGATCGCCCAAGTCCTCTCTGATGTCCAGTGTCTCCTCACAGGGTGGTCACAAGCCACACACAGCTTTCTGTTCCCAAACAGCGGCCCTCTACCTCTCAGGTTCCGAGGGGAGGCCTGACCCCCTGCACCCCAGTCTCTCCAAACCCGGGCAAACACAACCAGGATGTATGGTATGTGCTCACTGCACACATGACAATGCACATAGCACATGTGTGAATACACACGCGGGCACGTGTGCATGCACACACAGCACACTCACTGCACATGTGACTATGC